CCCCCCGCCCGCCGCCGGCAGTGAGCGCACGCCCAGCCCGCGCCTGATTGGCTCCCCCGCCGGGCCGCGCGTTCCCATTGGTGGGACGCCCGCGGGCGCAACGCCCGCCGGAAGTACCCCCGGAAACGCCGCTCCACCGCGCCTGGTTCCGCCCGCCAATGCGGCCCCTCTGCTGGGTGTCGCCGCTCGCTTCCCCTTGTGGCTCTTGGTCCTGCCCCAAACCACAGCGGGGCACCCTGCAGGGGGACTGAACGCCTCCGCCCAGTTATGGCTCCTTTGTGTTTCGAGGCATAGTAGGGTATTTCATGCAGGGCTCTTACCCTGGTGTAGCTACCATGTCAGTGGTGAGGCTGTGACTGTAAGCCGTGAGTATATCTGTGCAGAGGGGTAGGAGGGTCATGTCAAGGGCAGGGCAGAAGCAATCCCAACCATTGCTGTGGTATCGAGGCTGCCTGTAGGGCCTTGTTACCCCCTGCAACCGGCCTGTTTAAACCCCAACAGCAGACCTGGCCACCAGCACTTATCCTGGAACACCAGCTTAAACAATAAAGCATAACAAATGACAAAGGATATAAGGAAATGTCTGTGCTTTTTCTATATTGCAGAAGTTTAGACTCTCAGTAACCATCCCAAATGTAAAAACTATGCCTACACAGACATACAGACAGATGATACCCAACGACAGACAACGCCGATGTGCAAAGAAACCTCTCCTACTGTCCTCTCTTCTCTGTGCAAACAGCTTTGTTATTGAAAGGCTGTCCCCAGTCAGCAAGATAGTGTGTTTTTGTGTGTGTGGTTTGTTTGTTTTTTATCTGACCCTTTAAACTGGCAGACATAAAAAAGCCCTAAAATGCTCAGTAGCTGCTATTTGTACCCATTTTCTTCCTTGCTAGTAAGCATCTATTTTTAAAACTGCCCACATTTCACTTACCTGGCATTTCAAAACTTTGAGTAGTTTAGGTACATGGGAAAAGCTCTAAAATAGAAGATTCAAGCCTGGCCCATGATCAAATGTGGTCTGTTTTGCTTTGGCAGCCTGCACAGCAGATTGAGATGTTGCAGGACATAAGCTTTCATGGAAAGAAGCCTATTTTCTAGCTCTCGCTAAAAAGGTTTAAAAAATATTTAGCCCATGTATAACTGTTGCACAGCTGTCTTCTTGAATTTGCACACAGCCTGGAACAACAGCCAAAGAGATGCAAACTCTTCTTGGTCATCATCTTGTGGTGCAACTCCTGCATTCTCCTTCAAAAGCCATGTTTAAATGACCAAGATACTTTACTGGGAACTTAACTTGCACACCTACTACTAGGTGTTGCACAAATCAGTTAATTGCATGCAAAACAGCCAAATGACTAACATAACTTGCTCCCTCCATAAAATGAATTTGGAACTCTTGCAAAGAGTGTAATATGCTTTATAGCTGGAATAACTGTGATGTAAATTAAGACATTAAGCGTGCCACTTCATCCCATCCTAATGTAGCACCGAAGGCAATAGTTTCTCTGGTCTCTTGTAAACCAAAATGGGGCAATTTACTTTCCTCTTTCAGACACAAGGCGTACAGAGCAAATGTTTTCAAACCAACCCACACCAGCAGAGGGCTCCACTGAGATTTGGATAGAGGGTTTGGATGATGTATTTGCCTGCATGTCTAATAACCCTGCCTGCTTCTCATGTTAGACAATTGCATACACATTTGTTCTACCCATACAGACCAAAACAGTTCAGTGCTCTTTCCATTTATCCAGAACCCCGGGAAGGCTCAATCCTAACCAGAAGGATGCTCTGGTTCTTCTACACCCCCCACTTTTTTTTTTTTGGCAAAATAGATTTGCACAAAAGATTGCATGTGTTCTACTTCTCTCATCTCCCATTTAAGGTTTACAGAGCAATATGTATTTCAAAATGACCTGGTATGTCACAGTAGCAGCTATGCAGAATGTCCTCTCTGACTTTGAAAATTCATTAAAAGCTAATCGATGCTACCAAATTACACAAGGATATTGATCTCCATAGCACTTTCTGCCAGTGTTTCAGGGTAGTTTTCAATAAATAGTGTAGATTTAATTAAAACATCATAACATGAAAAAGCATAAAGGTATATGCCTAGCAGTCCTTGGGGAATACAAAAATCCCTTCTGTTCCTTGTCCTGAACTACTGTATAGAGTATGCTTCTGTGCACTATTAAATGTAGTTCAGATAAATAATCCTTAAATAAGGCCAGGAATGATTAGCTGCAGGTGAAAATTAAGTGACATGAGATGAGACGTGGACAAATAGCTTCTGGGCAGTGAAGAGCTGCTCTTAGCATGCTGAAGCTCTATTGACACAGGGGCTGTTCTTAAACCCTTCCAGCAGTATGGTAACAACCACACCATCTGTTCTTTGTGGACTCAGTACCAAGCAAGTGATAAATCCTAACTCTGCGCTCTCTCTGAGGACACTCAGAGAGCTGCTTTGGGTATTTATTTTCCCCTTATCAAAAATAAAAAAGGACAAAAAGTCTTGAACTAAGAGGCTGTACTCCAGGGGGTTAAAACACTCATTTGCCCTTGTACCTGAATCCAAAGTACAGTCTGCAAGTGCACACAGAGCACTTTGCAACAGCTAAACCAGTTGTGGATATACCCCAGCCTATCTGAGTTTAACTCTTGTGATCCTGAAAGGAAAGGATAACATCCTGTAATGGGAAGATCATTGCAGATTTCACGCACGTTTGTAGTTCAAAGCAAACAGTCCATTTCCTCATGATGTTTGCTGTTTTCACCGGGTATCATGTCAAAACTGAAACTGCCTTGACCACATCAGGATGTTACCAATTGTTAGTTAACACAGGGTGCAAAACACAAACAGCAACAAAGAAACCGACAAACCAGCTAACCCAACCCACAATTCACGTTCCTCCTTAGATGAGAAAAAATGCCTTTTCATCCAAGTGCCTTATGGCTTTCTTGGTTCTTTGGGTAGATGCGATATCTTTTATTAGACCAACTCAAAAGTTGGGGGGGAAAAGTTCTTTGCAAGCTTTTGGGCACAAACACCCTATGTCAGGCATAGGGAGACTCTGCTGGTGTTGTGTGTAGAAAAGGTAGAAAAGAAGCAAATTTACAACAAGCAGATCTGTGAAAATGCAAATGAGTGGAAATTAGGAAGACAATGAGTAGAGATGGTGGGGAGGAAGGGAGGGAAATGTGTGGAGGAATGCAAGTAGTCAGCTGGAGGTAGGTTATCTGGGGTGTCAGATGTCAGGCAGGTTGTTAATCCACTGTCTATATTTAGTCCATGATTTTTTGTATCCAGTGGATTTATGAAGGGAAGCTCATAGGATGGTCTACAAAAGGTGTGTTGCAAATTCCCTTATAGCTTCCTTCTCATTATTTGCCCCTAAAGGTAAAAGAGATTATTGCTGCTATTTCTCCCTTCTCAGCTAGTTGGAGAAATAGCTCGATTAGTTTGTAATCTGTTTTTAGGACTGTACGTATGCTTTAAGTGTGAAAAAGTGTGAGGAAGCCAAGCTGAAGAGATCATTTATATTTATTTCTGCTCTATGTGAGAAAATTGGACTTTGTTAAATTGGCAAAGCTAGAAATCTACCCAATTACACAAAAGCTGTATAAAGGTTGCCAACATCCTGGCTCTAAACAGTGTGAGGCCTGATAGCATTCTTGGCTCTGTATTAATTGCTCTCCAGATCCTTTTTTTAGTCAGTGTCCTGCCAGCGGAGGTAACTTAGGGCTGAATCCACCTGTCATTGAATCCTAGCTATATACAGGCCTTTTGTGGACCCAATCCAGAATATTTCTGTTATGCTAGGTCTTTGAAACTCAGGTGCCTTTCCAGCTAATGCCTGGTCCTGTGGTACTGGCTGGCTTCTTAATTTTGTCTTCAAACTCACAGTCTCTTCTGGAGCGTAGATGCATTACTTCAAGTACAATTGATCCAAGAAGCACTGCCGGTAATACTCTATTTGTCACCTCAGAGATGAGGAGGCAGTTGCATCCTACAATAATGGGAACCAGAGGGAATACCATCTATATTTAAGTGGCCTAACACAACCCCTGCATTTCTTGCATCTTTCTTTGAGAAGTTCTAGCCTCTCCATTTTTCACATCGAGCCTATGGAATTCAACAAAGGGAATCCCTTTGGGTGTAGACCTGTTTTCTTTGTACCTCTAAACAGCATCCAGGTTCAGCTGAACCATAAATTGTTTTTAAAGAGTGCCATTTCCTTCTTTTGCTCATACTCAGCAAAATCATGACTACTTTGCCCCGTTCATGTTGTTCATGTATCTTCTTCAAAACAAGAAAAAAAGAAAAAAAACCCAAATACCTCAAAAGGGCTTTCTTTTGCCTGCAAAAAATATTAATATAAGCTTCTGACTACAATTTCAAGTTAACATGTATGAAAAACCATTTTTTTGGCAAGGGAACAGGTTTCACATTTCAAGCTTGCAGGGAATTATGGAGGAAAGAAGTCTAAGCGATACAATGCAAGATACCTTAAAATCCTTTGAGCGGTTCTGGCCCTTGACAAACGTGAATCTGTTGGGATCTACTTTGAACTATAAACCTTTCAAGAATGTCCCAATCTCCTGCTAGTACCTGCAGAAAGTAATGTGCAGAATTACCCAACTATTTACTGCTGCAGAAATGCTATCTGGCTGCTTCTGGGCTGTCAGCATGGGGATCATATTTCATTTTGAAAGTAAATAAAAAGCTCTGCCCAGATTGCTGGAGTTTATATAAACCCGAATTGGAAACTAAAAGGAGAAGAATCCGGCAAAAGATGTTTCTAAAGCAAAAATCAATCTTGCTGGTAAATATAGCAAGACCCAAGGGAACTGGAGGTCAGTGAGGAGCCAGCGCTGAGTTAGAAGGTACATGGGTCTCCAGTGAAAGTTGGATACAACCACAGCCAAGGAGTTAGTCATTTCACAAAACGGTGTTGCCAAACTGTGCATTATCTTGATGGATAAAACAACTTTTTGCCATCTGCAGCATACCATATGCAATGATCCTGCTGGTGTAACTGTCAGATTGTGCTTTGAAAATGGAAAGGAAAGAAAGGCAAACAGACAGTATTGGATTTCTGAAAAAAATCCTAATTTCTAAACGATATAACCTTGAACAGTTTACAATTTGCTAGCACTGAGTGACGTAGCATGAGGGTCCAGGAAACAGGGAAGGATTTTTGCTGGTGACACCTTTGACTGACCTAGTTGCACAGGCGGAATAGACTTAAATAAGCTTTCAAATGCAACGCGTTCTTCTTTGCATCATAATTTGCTGCTGGTTAAATAATCCTAATATGACTTTTAAAACAGACAAAAAAGTCCAGCAGCTGAGGAGGAAGTCTTAACTTAGTATCACACTTGCATAAGCAATTCTCAGTTTTACTTTATTTTACCCTCATTAGCTCCTGGAAATGAACTTCAGCTCTTTATTACCTCCCATGCACTCAGCACCACAGCTATAATTCAGGGACATGGGGACCCAAGCAGAAAGGGGGGAAATGATGAACGTAACAGGGACACTGAAACTCTGAAACCTTTAGGAACAGAGACAGAAACAATTGCTACAGGGATCTTTAGATGCTGATGTCAAGCTGCCATCTGCATTTTTCTCTAGGCAGAGACTGAGCAACCAGGATTCTCCTCTGTCCCAATTAACAGTTTACTCCAGCACTCTCCTTCCTGTTCATTCTGCTTCCTCACCTCAGTCTAAGGCAAGAAACTACAGGGGCGGGATGGGGAGCATAAAAAAAGTAAGTCTACAAGAGTACTTTACCAATTCCCCGTCTCCAAAGAGATTAGAAAATTTGTGCAAAGGTGATCCAATCCAAAACAGACACAACATTCATCCGGGAAGTTCCTGGTGAAATTGTGTGGCTACTGGCCATAGCCTGTTTGCACAGGACTGTACCTTGCACATGTAATCAAAACCAACAGCCAGATCTGAAACAAGAAAAGCTTTCAGAGCTGTCACACGCAGCCCAAGCAATGCTGAACAAGCAGATCAAACGTTATCTAGAGCAAACGGTGCGAATCTGGTGAAACAAGAATTTCTTGGTACCAACAAAGTTTCGGCCCCAAGCTCAGGTCACTCCAGGTACTCCCACGAAGGAGCTCTCTCTCTTCAGTGAGTCTCTGTATGGACACAGTCACCCACAAGGATCTTACTGAAGCATTGTCCCCAGTTTGTATGTAGGTCTGGAGTCTTTCCAGTGGAAAGGGATTTGCAATTTGGCAAGATCTCAGTTCGTAGTGGATTAGCAATAAAACAGTTTTAAATGTGTACGCTCAGCAAAGAGGTTTGAGTTAGAAAGCATCTCCAAAACATGCGTCGTTGTGACCGCTATTCTACGCCACCTCCACCAAAACCCTGTTTGGGGGGTCCTTATGGTCTCCGAGAGCTAGATATTCTCCACCGTGCACGAAACTAAGAGCTGTCAGTATTGCTCCCCTTGCTCTCTGGGGAGTTGCACACTAAGAAACGTCTTGCCCAGAACGTGGTACGCTATTTCACGAGTTCAGAACTGGACGCAAGGTATAATTAGGGATCGGACACAAACCGTACACCTACTCGGAGAAGATCCTCTGAAGGCAGAAGAGGACCCGCAGTCGACAGAAGAGTGCGCCTGCCAATCTCGAGGATCCTGGAGAACTTGGACAACCTTTTCTCCGACGCCTCGCGAAGGGTCAAACGTTATCTAGGGCGAATGGTTCGAATCTGGTGAAACAAGGATTTCTCGGTACCAACAAAGTTTCAGCCCCAAGCCCGACAGCTTGCAACCAAACAATTTTTTTGGGTGGGGTTTTTTTTTTGGTGAAAATCTCGGCGGTCTCGTAAAAGCTCCCATCTCTATGCTGGGTGACCGCTTAAAAACGCCACGCGCGACCTCGCCCATCCGAAGCACGAGAAACCACGCCGCAAGCCAAGGTCGACGCGGGAACTCCCCGAGTCCAGGGTCCCAAACTGGCGCGGTCCCCAATGCGGGACCAGCGAAGGGTGTCACTCGCCAAGAAGCATCCGCGTGGCTCTTTTGGGGCCGGTCGGTGCAACACCAGGCAGCCGGGGCCGGCCCTGTCCTCCCGCGGCTGCCACCTGCTCCCGATGCAAGGATGTGTCCGGGCACAAAGAGAGCCAGCCTGGGGGTAAAGGCGATGCAGCGGTGACACCGGCCCGGCGCTGGGGCAGACCTGCCCCCTACCCCTGGCCGCGGGCGGTGGGAC